GTGTGTGTGTGTGTGTGTGTGTGTGTGTGTGTGTGTTCATCTGTCCAGTGTCCTCTCAGTGCATGTTCAGTGTGCCCCTATTGTGTTCTCCCAGTGTGTGCGTGCCCCTCATTGTGTGTATGTGTCCCCAGTGTGTGTTCACCCCCTATGTGTGTGTGCGTGTTCCTCCCAGCGGATCCGTCCCGGGTGGGGGGGGTGGGGGTGTCCCTTGTGTGTATCCAGCCGCACAGAGCGGGTCGGGGACGACCAGCTCGGCCGGGGCCGCAGTCCCAGGACAGAGCCCGAAGTCGGGAGCTCAGCGCCGCCCCCCCCCCGTCCCGCGCTCACCTGGGCTCGACGAGCGCCCGCTCCCGCTCGGCTCCGGCTTCCGACTACGAGAGCCAGCCACCACCACCACCCTAGAGTCCGCGCCGATTGGCTGCCGCCCCGCGCCGCGCTCATTGGTGAGGAAGAGTGACGAGACAGGAGCCCGCCTCCGAAGAACTGAGGCTCCCATTGGCCCTTTCGCGCTGTCAGTCAAAACAGCTTCCTAGTGGGCCAGGGCTTCGGGGCGGCGCCCGGAACACTGGTTCGAATCCACACTCTGGGCCCTGGGTCCTCCCGACCCCTGGCTCCAGGGTGCTCGCTGGGGTCGTCGCCCTTCAGCAACGCCCTCTCCGGGCTTGCACTCCCGCTTCGGCTAAGCCCAGGCAGGGCAGGGGGCTGGGACGCAGGGGTGCGTCCCTCCGGCATGGCCCTGCCTGGAGAGATACATACAGTTCCAGGAGGCTGCTCCTTTAAATGCATATTACATGTTGAATCCAACGTACACAGGAGCCGACCCCACGTGAGCTGTCACAATGCAACAGGGACGCGCATTTGCGTTCCTGACGTCACGTCTGCGCGGCCCCGTGCAGCGGTCACAGGGCTGGAGTCGCTCGTGTCCTTGCCAGTGTGAAGAAACCTGCGGAGCAAAAACCAGCAGAACTGGCTGCCCCGCATTGTGCATCGCGGAGCCCTGGCTGGAAATTCTGCGGTTAGGTGGTGACTCGTGTTTGCAGTTGCAACACCCCTGAAAGGCTCTTATGGCGTAGCAGGTGCCCCTGGCTACCACCCAGGGCTCTGTGCTGTATTGGGGTTTCACTAGTTAGAAACCCAGAGACCACTGAGAATAAACACCTTACACACGCTCCTTCTCTCTTCCCCCTCCACCCCCCAAATACATGAACAGTGCTCCTCCACTGCAAGAACACATGGACACACACATTACATGAGCAGTCTGCTAGTAAGACCATTTGTTACCGCAGAAGGACCTAGGTAGCAAACACTGATCCATCGCACCCCCACTGCAGTGTGTGTGGGAGGCTACTGCTTGACTTTGCATTCACTAAATAAACACTTACACAAACAGTGCTCCTTCGCTGCAAGGATCCACTGCCCATAGTTAAAATGTTCAGTTCAGGGATCTTTATGGGAGGAGCAACGTCCTTCCCCAGGGGCAGCTGAGTACATTCCTAATGTCAGATAGTTTTTTCTACAGGAACTGCACATGACCACTGAGGAGGCTATCATATAGCTCCGCAATTAGGCGCACTGACTGCCACTGTTAGTAAAGGGGTGTGGCCATGTGCACGTCCTTTACTGGTGACCCTCTGAGCTTTCTATTATAGTTTCATAGTTTCTAGGGTCGGAAGGGACCT